AGAAAAAATGCATTTTGTGTACATAGAAAAAGTCTTAGATCTTTGAATTCAGCTCATGAAAAATGGGGGCAAAAACAAGTGTTGCGTTTATAATTTTATTCAATGTATAATAAAGTGTTCTTTGCTGTTATACAGTGGTGCATTATGTATCTATTTCTTTTTTCCTAACAAGCACAGGAGATGGGAATAGAGAAGAAAGAAAATCCTACCTGAGACCATTATATTCTGTCTTTTTTGCTTGAGTGCATTTTATCTTTAGTGATTTATTTATTTTTATGTTTACATTTTAAACAGAAATCATCGTTTTCATACATTGAATGAATTTGACACAAACTCGCAATCGATTACTTGAAATGTATTAATTTTTCTCTTTTATTTTCCAGCTTCTGGCCCTGGAAATTTCTTCTTCCAATTTGGGTAACATCCTCATGTCCCAAAGCACTCCTATCCCTATCTTCCCCCATCCCACTCCATTTGCTCGTCCTGCTCCCTCATCTCCCTTCTCCGATCAAGTGTTTTAACCTGGAATACAGACATTATTTAATCAGACTTCTCCACGGCATTACCATGCCCCTCTGTTTGTTAGAGAAGTGTTTTTTTTTTTGTTTTTTTAATTATTATTTTGAATCCATCTTGGTTAAATACCTCTCTGTGTGCTCATGTGTGAAGGAAATATTGAAAGCAGCATGAACTAACGTATCAAATAAATTTAAAAAAGCCTGACACAATTCTTCTCTATTTTTTCCCCTAACAAGAGAAAAGAAAAACTTGATTACCAAAAAATTGGAAATAAAAACAATTTTTTTTTCTTTATGCGGTTTCACAGGAATTTTGCTCAATCCTTGAGATGTGCAAATTTAACTGCAGAGCTATAAGTTGGTTAGGCTAATTTGTGCTTATGGGATATCCGTAATAAACTTAGAAGTCTCTTGAATTTTTATTAATTCAATGCTTCAGGACTTTGAGTACATGTTCATGGATTTAAAGTGACTTTTTTTGCATTGCATTTTTTACATCAGCATAACTGGAAGGTGCATGATTGTGTGAAACACAGATTCCTGAATTTGTATATCTGCTATGTATTCTTCAGTCCTTATTTTTAACGACCTATGAAAGAATAGGGTTGATACCAGACTGAGCATACATTCTGTTCAGTATGAAGAAAAACGTAAGTTTACCACGGAGTATGTAATGCAGTCAATGTTTAACTGACCTTGTAATTTTGTTTCTGTATGTTTAAATGTAAACATTTTACAGTTTCTGTAACAGAGAACGCAAGTTGCTTCGTAAGTTGAGATGCAGTTTAAATGGACCAACAAATATGTTGTGAAACATGATTTGATTGCACCACTATAGAAATTTATCATTTTATTAATGTTCAAATCGAGGGATGATTATGTACGCTAATATATGTATTGGATTTCAGACACGTTAATATTGCCTGCCTTTTGGGAGCCATCAGAATTTGGGTGCTGAATACTTTAGAATGACCTCCTTAAAGTTACTAGGCAGGAATCATAATGGGTAACCCATACGTTAGTATCATAGTGATGTACTTTAGCTGTGCCACTCTTATTGCAATTTACTCAACATATTCCTACCCAAAGTTGGTCTATGAAAACGTCCCAATTCTACAAGGTTACCTGTACAAATATAAAAGCGTTCAATAAAACTGTTTAAAAATGTAGTGCTTCTTATATCATTTAAAAAAGTTAAATGATTGGATGGTGGGAGGGGGAAATCACATACGGGACCAGCACTATAACTCACAGGATTATAAGGGGTAACAGACGTGTATTTCTGTATCTATCAGGGCACCTAGAGTAATATGGAGACAACTTACGTAGATCATGGGGTGCACGTAAAATAGGGGGGTCTTTAGCCCCTCCGAAGCGCTCACTACCCATATTACCCTGATTAGACCAACAGGGGGACACGGACTCATTAAGGGACTAATCTAACCCCTAAGCCCCTGGGGTATGATGGAGACTGGAGAGGCAGGAGCACATCCCATAAGGTAACTGTAACATATCCTAGCTGCACTACCCCTGAGGGTATGGCCCCTCTAAGAACCCCTGGGGACCATTCACCAACAGGCAGCCCAATACCTCAACACTAGGCATCCAGTAACTAGGCCAACTTCCCCAACAATGCTGAACGCATATAAATATATATAGGCATTGAACATGACCAGATCACTTTTTTTTGCAAAGAAATACGGAATAACACAGAATATTTTCCCCTAGCTATCTAAATAACAACGCTACCCTAGTCATCACACATCTATACCTAGATAAGCAACCCCTAGAAGGATGCCCAATAACTAGCTAATCCAACGTGACCTGAAGCAATACGCTCCGGAGGGGGAGAGTAGCCTGCGGTAAGGGAATGCAATACCCCGCATGGCCTAGACGACATAGTTGGGGATGGGAAAGATGTTAAAGGGACACCATAGTCACCTGAACAACTTCAGCTTAATGAGGTTGGTCAGGTGAGAACAATAGTTCACTGCAGCCTTTCTTAGAGAAAATACAGTGTTTACCTTGGAAGTTAGGAACACCTCAGATGGCCACCAGAGGGACGTCCGAATTCAGGGCTGCCTCACTTGCATTCATCACGTTTGACGTCTTCACGCTTGGGAGAATACATCAAAAGTGATATGAGGAGACAGGAGGCACTGTGATCGCGCCTCCTGTATAACCCGGAGCCTGTCGGCAATCAGAGCCGACAGTGTGGGAGATAACGATCTGATCTCCTGCACACGGCGTGGGCTTGGGCTGACAGGCTGAAGGCAGGAGGATGCAGAGATCTACTGACTTTGAACACTAAGTACACTTATTTTAAGAGTGTGTGTGAGAATGAGTGAGAGTGCTCTCACACACACTCGCTCATTCACTCTCTCTGAGTGAGAGATGGATGGATGGACCCATCCATCCTTCCCTCTCTAACCATCCAGCCATCCATCTCTCTCTAGCCATCCATCCTCTATCCATCCCTCTCTATCCCTCCATATCTATCCAGCCATAGGGTGTGTCTGATTGGCTAATCTCTAATCAATGTTAACCACAACCCGTAGGAGGAGTTTCTTCCCTCCATTGTGGTCTGTGAGGTCATCACTGTGTGCCAGGTCACATAACAGGGTGCAGCACACATATAAGGAAGCTGCTCTGGAGCGTGCAGCGTCAGGCACACTGCCAGTCTAGAGACAGGGACCAGATGACGCCGCTCGCTGTGATGAGGTAAGCAAGGGAACCTGACATAACCCCCACTGACGGTTTGAAGGGAAAACGAGCATGAAAGGCCCTAACAAGAAGAGAGGCGTTCAAATCAGAGGTGGATACCCACGAACGCTCCTCCGGGCTTAACTCTTCCAGTAAACCTGGTACTGTAAGGCGCCCCTGAAGAAGTCGAGAAGGGACTGCACCTCATACTCCTCGCTAGAGTCGGCACGGACATGGCAAGGGCGCCTAACAGACCTCAAATACTGGTTACACAGGAGTGGCTTCAGAAGGGACGTGTGAAACGTATTGGGGATGCGCAGGGATGGAGGCAAGTCCAGAGTGTAAGAGACATTAACCCCGCGCAAGACTTTATAAGGCCCAATATATTTTGGTGCCAACTTCTTGGAGGGGACACAGAGGCGGATTTTTTTTGTGGACAGCAATACACTGTCACCCGGCACATAAGCAGGAGCCACAGCCCTATGGCGATCAGCGACATTTTTCTGGGGTTTCACAGCACTTGTTATAGCAAGGTGGACACGGTCCCACATCTCCCGAAGTGAGGCTAGGTGTTCATCCAAAGTGGGTTTTCCCTTGTCGGAGAATACACCAGGAAGGATGCTAGGTTGTAAACCATAAGACACCTGGAAAGGACTCAAGCCAGTGGAGGAATGGGATGCTGTGTTTCTGGCAAACTCAGCCCACGGGAGGAGACCGGACCAATTATTTTGAGGTTCGTTCACGAAACAGCATAGAGTTCCAGTGATTGACTGTGGGTGATAGGATGAGGAAAAGGACATTGATATACCCATTTCAGTACAGAAACCCCTCCAGAATCGTGAGATGAACGGAGGGCCCCTGTCAGAGACCATATCGATGGGTATGCAATGAAGCCGGAAGACCTCCGCTAATTGCGCAGCAGAAGGAAGCTTCTTCAGGGGAACAAAGTGAGCCATCTTCGAGAACCTATCGGTCACCATCAGAATGACTGTGTGACCCTCGGAGGGGGGAAGGTCCACTATAAAATCTATGGACAGGTGCGTCCAAGGCGTCTTGGGCACAGAGAGTGGCATAAGGAGTCCAGATGGCTTGCCTGTGGGACACTTGGCCTGAGTACAAGTTTGACAAGCCATAATGTACTCTTTAACGTCCCTCCGAACAGAAGGCCACCAGAACTGTCTTATGTTATCATGAGTTTTTGTGATGCCTGGGTGTCCCTCTGTTTTGGACCTATGAAACAATGTCATTTCTTTTTTCCTGTCCCAAACCCTGTACAAACAGCAAACCTTGTAGGTGTTTCAGGTGGTGCTTGATTTTGATATCTCTTCACCTTATCTTGAAAGAGGGAAGAGATAACCAAGTGTGTAGCTGCAATAATGTTGGCGGAAGGGACTATGGGTTCTGGCAGGGAGGGGTCGACCTCCAGTGGTTCGTGTTAACTGGATATAGCATCTGCCTTAATGTTGCGCTATCCAGGTCTGTATGTTATGGTATACTGGAAGCGGGACAAAAATAAGGACCACCTAGCCCGGCGAGAAGACAGACGTCTGGCCTCTGCTTCTTGTGGTCTGATCAAAGAGGCACTTCTCTAGCTTACAATACAGACCGTTTTCTAGCAGTTTCTTTAGTACTGATCTGACATGTCTACGGTGGGTTTCCAAATCAGGTGAGTATACCAATATGCCATCCAGATACACTACCGCACATACGTGCATGTAATCTCGGAGGACATCGTTGATAAAGTCCTGGAAGACAGCAGTGGCGTTACACAGGCCGAAGGGCATCAGTGTTGAAAGCGGTTTTCCACTCGTCTTGTTCTCTTATCCTGACCAGGTTATATCCCCCTTTCTCCCCCCCCCCCGATATCCAGTTTAGTAAGCCACTTGGAACCTTTTAAGCGGTCAAACCGTTCCAGGATGAGCGGAGTTGGATAAACATTCCGCACAGTTATCGTGTTCAGACCCTATAGTCTATACAGGGTCTGAGATCACCCTCTTTCTTCGATACGAAGAAAAAGCCAGCACCTGCCGGAGATGAGCATTGCCTGATAAACCCTTTCTTTAGGGACTCCTTAATATACAATATATCCTTATTCTCGTGCTTAGAGAGGGGATATACCCGACCTTTAGGTGGCATAGTCCCTGGTAGTAAATCAATCGCACAATCATAAGTGCGATGGGGAGGGAGATTTTCAGCCTCTCTTTGCTCGAAGATCTGGGCTAAATCAGCGTACTCTGGAGGCACTGAGGCAGAGAGAGGACGGGCTGAGGGCAGGTTAAGTGAACAAATGGGATGCATAGGTATAAGACACTATAATAGACAGGTAGAACCTCAAGACAATATGTCCAAAGTGACCCAATCTATAATGGGGTTGTGCTTTCTCAAACATGGAAACCCATGCACTATGGGACATGAAGGGGAACTCAACGTGTGAAAGGCAATGCTCTCCCGGTGTAGGGCCTCTACGGTGAGTTGCACCTCCTGAGATTCACGAGTCACCTTAGGGTTCGAAAGTGGCTTGCCATCAAGTGCTTCCACGGCTAGAGGGGAGGCCTTGCGTACCAAGGTCCTGGCGTGTAACTCAGCGAAGGACTGGTCTATAAAGATTGACAGACTTTCTCGAATCCAACTCTCTGCTTCAGTCTGGATTCCGCGCTGGTCACTCTGTCGAAACTGCTGTGACCAAAGTATCCAACGATTTAATTGCTGCTAAATCTTGCGGCCAATACTCCTATATATATCCTAATCCTCCTTGATCTTTCTGCCGCCTTTGACACTGTTGATCATCAACAGCTTCTTCACATTCTCTGTAACTTTGGTCTACGGGATACTGCTCTCTCCTGGTGCTCCTCCTACCTCTCCCAGCGCTCTTTCAGTGTTTCTTTCTCTGGCTCTGCCTCTTCTCCCTAACCCCTCTCTGTCGGCGTCACACAAGGTTCTGTCCTCTGCCCCCTACTGTTCTCTATCTATATTGCCTCCCTTGGTAAACTCATCAGCTCCTTTGGCTTCCAATATCATTTATATGCAGACGACACGCAAATCTAGCTGTCCTCCCATGATCTCTTTCCGCCCACCTTGACTCGTGTTTCTGACTGCCTCTCTACTATTTCCATCTGGATGGCTACTCACTTCCTTAAACTCAACCTGTCCAAAACAGAACTTCTAGTTTTTCCTCCCTCAAGTGCTGCTACTCCTGTGTCTGTCTCCATCCAAATCAACGGCGCTACTATCACCTCTACCTCGCAGGCTCGTTGCCTAGGGGTTCTTTTTGATTCTGATCTCTCTTTTACTCCCCATGTCCAATCAATAGCCAAATCCTGTCGCTTCCAACTCAAGAACATAGCGCGCATCCGCCCATATCTAACGCCGGACGCGGCTAAGGTACTGGTTCATGCTGCTGTTCTCTCTCGCCTTGACTACTGCAATCCCCTTCTCACCGGTCTTACATGTTCCCAGCTTGCACGGCTGCAATCTATAATGAATGCGGCTGCTAGGCTTATTTTCCTGTCCGCTCACACCTCCCACGCCTCCACGCTCTGTCAGTCCCTGCATTGGCTTCCAGTTAGATATAGGGCCCAATTCAAAATTCTGGCGCTTGCTTACAAATCCCTACATAATGCTGCTCCAACATACCTATCCTCCCTCATACACAAGTATGTCCCATCGAGACCCCTGCGCTCAGCCCAAGACCTCTGCCTATCCTCTGCCCGGAACCCCACCTCTGATGCTCGACTTCAAGACTTCTCCAGGGCTTCACCTATTCTGTGGAACTCCCTTCCCTCCTCAATCAGACTTTCACCCAGCCTCCACTCCTTTAAAAAATCTTTGAAAACTCACTTCTTCATTAAAGCGTATCAATTAAACTGTCAGCATCCCCCACCCCATGACTTCTTTCCTGCAACTGTCAAAAAATGACCATCCAAGCACTCAATAAACCCTTCTCTAACAAACTATGTAATTCCCCTACTTTAACCCTGTGTGTCACTATACCCCACTCCCTCTAGCATGTAAGCTCATCGAGCAGGGCCCTCAACCCCTTCTGTTCCTGTACGTCCAGTGGTCTGATCTCAGTTATGTGTCTGTTAGTCCACCCATTGTACAGCGCTATGGAATTTGTTGGCGCTTTATAAATAATATAATAATAATAATAATAAAGGCCAGCTGCACCTGAGTCTAGTAGGGCCTTGGTATGTATGGTCTCACCGTTAAAGCTGAGGGGTAACCGCTAGAAGCGGTCTAGAATATTTGTTGTGAGGGGATAACTCCTTAACACCCAAGACCAACCCCTCCTCTGGATTTCCGTGCAGGTCAAGACATGTCCTTACATGCCCCTTTTTGCTGCACTAGAGGCATAGGCCTTCTCTTTCTGCGTTGTTTCTCCTCTTCGGGTATCTTACTGGTTCCTATTTGCACAAGGAGGCAAAGCAGGTAGAGAAGCATAGGGCAATGTGGGCAAGGTTTGATCCTGCATCCAGTTATAAGACTGTCCCTGAGGGCATCTCTTTCTAATGCGATTGTCTATAATAATGCAATAGTCAATGAAATTATATAATAAAACGGGTAACTCTCTGGATGCTAGCTGAGTAGGTAATCAGCTAATCCTACCTGAAAAGCTGTTACCAGAGAATTGCTATTCCATACCACCGCCATTAGAGTATGGAATTCTATGGAATAGTTTACCACTGTTCTGGAACCTTTGATGCAGAACAATGCTTTCTCAGCGGACGCTATCCTACCAGGTGTCTCAACCGTCTCCGAAAGGACGACAGGAAATCAGCATAGGTGATGTTGAGACCAGATTCCCATATAGGATTTGCCCATGCTAAAGCCCTGCCAGAGAGTTGATTAATGGCAAAGGCTATTTTTGTCCTGTCAGTAGGAAAGGAGCGTGGGTTCATAACCATGTGTATATCAACCTGGTTCAGAAACCCACAACAAAGGGCAGGATCACCATTTTACCTTTGGGGTGGTGTCATGAGTGAGGGGAACCTTCCTGTACAGGTATGCTAACAGGGGCCAATGGATGGGCTTGTTGGGCCCCCGGTTATAGGTGAGCGGTACGCTGCAGACAAGTCTGTAACGTCTGGGCGAACTGATCCAAGCGGTAGTCTTGCTCCTTTAGCTTGAAATTCTGAGCAGCTAACTGCTGAGAGATATCAGTTTGGCCCGGTTGTAATGTAACGTTCACTAGGGAACCCTAACACGCAGACAGGGCAGAGAGAATTGCAATAACGATCCTTAGAATGGTTGAGCCAAGATCAAGGGAAACAGAGAGATGGAATAACGAGAGACAAAGCCAAATCTCAGTAACCAGGAAATCCAAATAACAAGTGCAACGCACAATGGTAAACCAAAGACCACAACAGGGCACTGAGGCATGGGAGGGGTTAGCTTATATAGACACAGGGTTTGTCTGATTGGCTAATCTCCAATTCATGTTAACCACAACAGATGGGAGGAGTTTCTTCCCTCCCTTGTGTTCTCTGAGGTCATCACTGTGGGCCGGGTTACATGACCAGGTGCAGCACACATATAAGGAAGCTGCTCTGGAGTGTGATGAGGTAAGTAAGGTCGCCGCATGGAGGCAGGGGCCCTGACACGAGGGGGACAAAACAAATTACTGCACATGTTCTTGACACACCCTGGTCTACTAGACGGTTGGCAGTTACAACACCCAGACACAAGACTTCACATTCTACTCAACGCCCAAGAATACATACTCTAGAATAGACAATATATTTCTCGATGGGAATGGACAATGCAATTCATTTGGAAATTAACTTTACCTTCTCAGACTATGCGGACAGTCACAGTTGGCTACGATACTACGGTCTAAAAAAATTGTTCTGTGAGAAAGCAATCAAAATGGACACCCTCCTAGCCACAGTATTGTGACCAAGAATGGGAAGCAAACCTATAACTAAAATACGTACCGAAACCAATGACAGTTACAACACCAGACGCTATCAACAAGGTATTCACAGCATACTTCTCAGGCATATATAATCACTTGCCCCACCTCACTAAAGACAATACCCAACACAGAACAGACCTACATAACTGATTATGCCAAGGGTGACTGGTGAAGAGGCAGCAGCACTGAGGGACCCAATCACACAAGACAAAGTGGAGATAGCCATAACATCTCTCAAGGGAAATAGGTCCCCTGGACCGGACGGTTATGACATTAATTACTACAAATGATTTAGAGACAAATTAACCCCCCACCTCATTACTTTATGTAATCACTTCATGCAACGATAAATGCCTGATGTAGACATGGCCACAGCAAACATAATACTATCAAAACTCGAAAAAGTCAATACACTGGCTCCAAGCTACAGACCAATATCACTCATTAATGCCAACTTTAAAATATACGCAAAAATCTTAGCATCCAGACTCTCACCCCTCCTTCTGCGACTGATCCACCTAGAGCAGGTTGGCTTTATACCAGGGCGACAACTATATGAAAATACCCGACAGGGAATTAACCTGATTTGGTACATGGCAGATTCTAAGGTGCCTTCTCTGGGGCTTTCATTAGATGCATAGAGGGCATTTAACAAGGTGCTATGGCCGTACCTATTCATCCTACTCCAATTTCAGGGATTCCCAGAACCCTTTTAGACAGCAATAGAGACTCTATACACACTCATAACAGGAGCAAAGAGGTCCCCATTCTCAGATAACAGAACCAGACAGGAGGGCCCCTCGCCCCCACTACTGTTAGCACTGACATTAGAACCACTCTTACAAGCTGTCAGAAAGCACCCAAACATCCAGAGGGTAGAAGCGATGGAAAAACCATTACAGTATCGGCTTACGCCAATGACGTCTTCCAGAACCCGTTAGATTCCGTGCATCAGTTATGATTTTATTAGACCGCTTCGGTTGTCTAGTGCAGTGTTTCCCAACCCAGTCCTCAAGGCACACCTACCAGTCCAGGATTTAGGGATTACCCAGTTGTGTCTAAGGTGTTTTTTTTCTT